AAAATCATGTTCAAAAGTAGATCGAAAGACACAGAAGCATGGAACAGACTGTGGAATCTCAGAGGGAAGGCAGGGTGGGTGGGTGAGAAGAGATGAACTGAAGAATTTATATGCATAACCATTGGACATAGACAATAGGGCAGTGAAGGCTTGGGGTGGAGGATGGGGACAGGTTAGAGGGTATCACTGGAGGGAAAAAAGGGACATCTGTAATACTTTCAACAATAAAGATAAATTAAAAGAAAAAATCATGATCACATGAAGTTAAAAAAAACTATTAACTTTTATCACTTTTAAGATGATCCTCCATTCCTGCATGTATTCAAATAAACTAGTCTTTTTTTTTTTCACCCTTGATCATTTGGTATTTATTTATTTATTTATTTATTTATTATTTTATTTTTATTTTATTATTTTTATTTTTTAATTAAATTATTATCTGTGTACATATTTTAACATTGCTCCCCCTCCCATACATACCCCTCCTCCCTAGAGTTTTGTGTCCATTGGTTGTACTTATATGCATGTATACAAGTCCTTCGGTTGATCTCTTATCTCCCCCAGATATCGCAAATAAACTAGTCTTGAGACAATTTAAACAAAATGTATTTTGTACTGTGCTTAAATTATGTTTTCTTTTGCATTGCAGGCATATATTTTTAATGTAAAAATTCAGACACAGTCATATGTGTACAAATAAATTCAACTCTGAGCTCATGCCAAAAATGTCCCTGATGGCCTGTGATCGTTCTGGAGGTGGGTCCCTAAGTGAAATATGAACTTGGACTTGGAATGCCATGTCAGTCTCCCATGTTGGTGTGCTTGTCCTTGTGGATCCTGGGAACTATTGTGACAGTTACTTTTCACAACTTCCTGAGAACTTGATAATTTGGTACGTTGTGTACATTTCTCTAATAAATCTTAATATCAACTTGGTTATTTTTTAGAATGTGCTTGATTGGCACGGTGGGTGCAGGGTGGTAAAAACATGAGATAATGACTAAATATCCACTATGCATCCACTCACCCAAGGGACTTCTGGAATATTGGAATTTATTACTAAAATTTCCCGTAATTAAAAATAAATAATAACAATAATAAAATATTGGCACAACTTTGAATTAACAAATAAAGCAAAGTCTGTATTTTTGCTATGAAAGACAGGAAAAAATTATTTATTTTTATATCTTGAAATACTTTCAATTTTATTAATATTTTATTTGAATATTAATATGCAAAAATGTTCATTATACTATTTAAGTGAAAAACAAACCTCTTTGATGTTTATTACTGAGAGTATAGAAATGCAAATTGTTATGTTTTATGTAGTACAGAGACAAGGCAAGAAAAATATTCAGTAAACTATTAAAAGTGACTGTTTTTTATGGGGAAGAATAGAATCAAAGTGTTATAGAAGTATGTATTTTTTTCTTTTTTATACTTTTACTAAAGGCCTGGTTTACAAATTTGTGCATAGGTGGGGTCCATAGGCCTGACCAGTGATTGAAGCCTATTGGGGGGGGGGGGGACGTTGGTTGGCAGAGGGAGGGACCACAAGAGGTTAGCCAGCCAGCGCCCCATTGTGGCCAATGGGGGGAGGGGCGAGCAGGGGTGTGGGTGAGGGGACACAGGAGATTGGCCAGCTGTGGGTAGGGGCCATGGGAGGTTGGCTGTGGGAGCGCAATGACCACCAGGGAGCAGCTCCTGTGTTGAGTATCTGCCTCCTGGTGGTCAGTGTGCATCATAGCTCAACCAGTCGTTCGGTCCTAATGATCATTTAGGCTTTTTAAAAATATTATTGTATTGATTTTTTTGCAGAGAGGAAGGGAGAGGAATAGAGAGTTAGAAACATCCCCACTACTGGGGATGTGCTCGCAACCAAGGTACATGCCCTTGGCCAGAATCAAACCCAAGACCCTTCAGTCCACAGGCCAATGCTCTATCCACTGAGCCAAACCAGTCAGGGCTAGGCTTTTATATAGAGAGACTAGAGGCCTGGTGCATGAACTTCATGCATAGGGAGGAGGGGTCCCTCAGCCCAGCCTATACCCTCTCATAATCCAGGACCTCTGGGAGGTTGGGGGGGTCGGGCCTAAACTGGTAGACAGATACCCCTTTTGCAATCTGGGACCACTGGCTCCTAACTGTTTGCCTGCCTGCCTGACTGGTTGCCCTTAACCACTTGCCTGCCTGCCTGATCTCCTCAAACTACTCTGCCTACCTAAGCACCCCTAACCACCTCTGTCTGCCTACCTGATGCTCCTAACTGCTCATCTACCTTCCTGATTGCCCCTAACTGCTCACTGACCTGCCTCATCTCTCCTAACCATTTGCCTGCCTGCCTGCCTGATGACCACTAACTACCTCTGCCTGCCTGCCTGCCTGATCACCCCTATTATTATTTCCTTTTTGGTGATAATAAAAATCTGTTTTTCAAAAATAATGTCTCATCTTTATAGCACAAGTCATATAATGAAACTACCATCTGAAGCTTTTGGATTTTAAAACTGAATTCTACAAGGATATATAAATAATGCTTTTTGTTGCATTCTTTTCCCACCCTATTTGAGGATTTAGTTCTGAAATGAATAAAAAAAGATATGACATGCAGATTCCTGACATTCTTTCCTAGCCAGAATGATTTTTAGCTCCTAATGTGGTCTTCCCTCCAAAATATATACTGACTCTCTTCTTTCATTTATTATTTGATGCCTTCCAGTTATTAAGAAAAACAACAAAAACCTGATTTCTTTCTTTCCCAATTTCTCTTTTTTAAAATGTGATTCAGTGACCTATAAATAAATCTGTTAATGAATGAATAATAAATGTTAATAAATCAATGACTATTGACTGACTTATGTGTCATTGAGCAGGTCACAATAAGGTTTTTTTTCTCTTTAAAAAAATATTATATAGCTGAGAGTATTACAGATATCCTCCATTTTACCCCCTTTGCTCTTTCCACCCAGCTCCTACCCAACACTAGGCCTCCATCTGTCTGTTGTCTGAGTCTATGGGTTATGCATATATGCATTTAAGTTCTTTGATAATCTCTTCCTATCCTCCTTCCCGTCTTCCCTCTGAGATTGTCAGTCTGCTTCATGCTTCCAAGTCTGTGGTCCTATTTTTCTCATCGGTTTATTTTGTTCCTTAGATTCAATATATAAGTGAGATCATGGGATATTTGTCTTTCTCTGACAGCCTTTATTTTTTTATACTTTGTGAAAAAACAGAGTAATGAAGAAGAAAAGCTGATCAGTTTGAAATAAATTAACAAACATTTTAAACATTCGTGAAGTTCTTTGAAAGTTGCAGACCTATATTATCATTTATTATTGATATTAACCTATTATTCAAATATACTTTTGCCATCTTCTGAAATATAGTCAATTTTAGTCATTATGAATTCCCTGAATGACTAAACATAGAACAAATCCCTTTGGGATTGTACTGTATTTTCACTCCTCAGTCATTACCTTAGATGGAAATGCAACACTGATAGTCTTGATTTGCAGAATTAAGTTAACTCTCTAATGTAAGAGGCATTGGCCTCTGGTGCATTCCAAGTGTGAAGTTGTGCTTGTGTAGTATATTGTTTACATAAGTGACGTTGAAAAGTGATAAGGTAAATTTTAGCAATTTTAAGTAAATAACAAAGTTGGTTTGTTTTTATCTTACATGGTGAATCAATACAGTAATGGGAGTACAATGGAACTGTTAGGTTATTACATGTCAGTTGTTTTTATCACTATTGGATCAAATGAGAATGATATCTAAACTAGTACTTAACTGGAAAGGATGAAGTGAAAAACCTTATAGATGATTTTCCTCAGGATTTTGGTTTGTCAGTACTGGCAACTATAGCAATGAGAAAAAAAAAAAAAGACTATTAAGAAGAATAAGGGCTTTTGTGGAGTTTGTGTGAGTGAGTGTGTGTGTGTGTGTGTGTGTGATTTCCTTTTCCCTATCTTGCTTGATCTGGTTTGTGGGATTTAGAACTCAAACAGTTCTCCATGTTCAGATAAATTACTAAAGAAAGGAGCAAAGTAATAACAGCTCTTGAAACCATTACATTTTTATCTCCTCTATTCCCATTGTGAGACTTGTTTTTCCACCTGAAATAATGCAGGCTTCCAGAAAACAATAAGGAAATATATCTTGTTAGATAATGTGCAAACTAATCTCTTGGTTGTACATTCTTTTTGAAAACATACTAGAAAAACAACTTTCTGTATATAATTGTTAGAAAAAAACAGTTGTATTTTATGCTAGAGTTGTTAAGAAAGTAGAAAGAAGTCAATATTATTGTTCTAGACACACACACACACACACACACACACACACATAATAATTGAATACAGATAACTACCTTGTTAACAAATATTACTCCTGTTTCATAGATAAAGAAAGTATTAGAAGCAGGATTCTATTAATCTGTCTGTTCTCAGGACCATATTTCTTCCACTGTATCAAGTTGTCTTTGCAGGAGGTGACTCAGCAGAGAATCCTATATGATAAAAGCCCAGGTGGAGTTGTGTGACATTGTCATAAGATGGCTGCTGTGACCTCATCATAAGATGGCCACAACAAGATGGCCACCACAAGATGGCCAGCAGGGGAGGGCAGTTGTGAGTGATCAGGCAAGTAGGGGAGGGCAAGTTGGGGGGGACCAGGCCTGCAGGGGAGAGCAGTTGGGGGGAGCCAGGCTTGCAGGGGAGGGCAATTGGAGGTGATTGAGCTGGCAGGGGAGCAGTTAGACATCAATCAGGCCAGTAGGGGAGCGGTTAGGGGGCGATCAGGCTGGCAGGCAGGTAGGAGAGCAGTTAAGAGCCAGCAGTCCCAGAGTGTGAGAGTGATGTCCGACTGCCAGTTTGTGGGATCAGGCCTGAACCAGCAGTCAGACATCCCCCAAGGGGTCCCAGATTGGAGAAGGTGCAGGCTGGGCTGAGGGACACCCCCTATTTATGTATGAACTTTATGCACTGGGACTCTAGTCTATAATAATAAAAGCATAATATGCTAATTAAACTGGACAACCCCCAGATGACCTTCCAGATGAAGCCACTGCTGCATTGGGCCTCTAGTCTGTTATAAATATTATTAATTAGACTTTGAGATTGTTCCTTTTTTGTGAAGCAGAATCAACCTTTTGACTGATCATTATAACACGCAGTGCCCTTTCCCTTCAGATTTCCTTCACTGAGCTCACAAGTTGCCAAGCTGTCTGTTCTCAGGAAGCAATGCATTCTGCTGAAGAGGGCTGTCTTAGTTTGGACCCTTGGCTACATCTCAGAGTATTCTGGAAAGACCTCTGGGAGAAATCTGAGTTGGAATTCCCTGTTCTTCACCTAGTTGTGGGCTGGGACAAGTTATCTAAACCTCTGGACCTCTGTGTCTCCATCTCTAAAACTGAGGCAGGAAGGAATCAGTGGTTTGCAGTCGTGTCCTACAGGGTCACTTAAAGGCAGCTATGGGGGTTAATGGGGTGGAAGATCTGGGTCCCCTATCACCAAGTTTCAACAACACAACAGCTGTGTGTGTGCGCACCTGTGTGCTCACTCTCCCTCTCCCTCTAGGCCCTGATTCTAGATGACATTTTGTTTGAACAAAGGGTACTATATATAAAAATAGTTGGAAAAATACACTGGCAAGTAGGCCTTCTAGCTGGGGCTAAGGAAATAGGTTCTTTCTAGATCTAACTTTCCTTGAGCATATGAAAGCAGTTTTAAAGACAGATAACTTCACTACCTTTAAATGTAATGTTTAAAATTTGCTGAAAATAATTTTTTATTTCATTTATTTTTTTAACCACTTTTAAGTTATATTTTTCAGAAATAACCTCAAAGAGAAAAATCAATGTCAAAATCTTTGAGTACTTTGAAATGGCAAACTATAAGACAAACTTTATGGTGTCTATGCTTTTCATCATAAAGTCTATAATTATATTCCTCTTGATTCCAATTTTTTAAAAAATATTCTTTTTCTTCTTTAGAGGATAAGTGTAAATAGTATTCACAACCAAAAGTCACTCGACTTCACCTCTCAACAGAAAAATTCCACTCCTTTAAGAAACCACGCAGTTCATCCTTTTCCATCTGCTCTTTTTCTTCTGGAAGTTTGTCCTGTCACTGACAGAACACATCCACTGTTTCCTGTTTCTTTTCCCTTGTGACAGCCTACAAATAAGATGAATGGACACCAGAGGAAAAAAAAGATAAATGTTTCGCTACAAAGTCTGCTTTTATTTGAGTTCCTTTCACTCCATATTTTTGGGGACTTGCTTTAAATCAGGTCCAATAAGCAATAATTAGGCAATTGCTGCACATTTCAACACTGTTCATGGAATGATGGGCTGGCTACCCAGAAGGGTCATAACTTGCAGAGACTGTCCCTCTCTAGCACTTCTGTCCAGCAGAGCTTTCTGTGGTGATGGAAACGTCCTCTCCTTGCTAAGCAGCACAATAGCCAACAGCCACGGCAGCCATCGGACACTTGAAAGGTGCTTAGTGTGATTTAGGAACTAAATTTTGCAAGTTAATCAAACTCAAATCACCAAATGTGACCAGTGGCTACCCAATGAACAATGTAGCTCTAGAGAATCAATTAAGTTTTTATTTATTTTTGAAAATTTAAAAATAGTGCTATGCTTTGGAAGTAGGTATTAAATTGTTATTATTATTGTTGTTGTTGTTATTGGCTCCTTTATGGTCAGAAATAGAGTATAGAGTTTTTATACTTTTAAAGTTGTTTTGATTAAAGTTTCTTCAGTGCCTGCACAGGAAAAGAAAAATAAAATAAATGATTGGATGATGCTAATGGGTTCTCTCTCACCTCTATCCAGGTTTCCCAGTTCATACATCCCGCTTTTAAGGTCACTTGAATAATTTTCCCCTAAGACTGCCAGGCCTGTACACCCACCTTTCACAGCCTTCTTGGCCTTTCGGGGCATTGTCTCTCTCACTGTGTGCTGCTGCCTTCTGAGTTGCTATGCACCCATGCTTAGCACCCCTATGGCTTCTAGACTTCCAGCCTTTCCTTCACTCTGCTCCCGTCAGGCTCCTCCTCCCACCAGCTCCGAGGGCCTTCCATGTCTGTGCCCTCTGCACCACGCTGTAGCCTGATGATCTGGCCTTGTTTAGGGTCCAGTGCTCAGCTACGGCTCCTAAAATGGGCATCATCAAACTACAGTGCCATTGACCCCGAGGATCAGTCGTGCCACATGACACAGCTGAAGGGCCGAGAATGCATTGCTCAGAGAATGTTATTACATAGATACTATTTATAAAACATGCGTGTATATTGTGCTAGGCACTGGGCTAAGTGCTTTTAATTTTCATGTAATCCTTACAGCAACCGTGCGTCCTATTTTCACACACTGTGGACGTCGGTGGTCTCAGAGAGGTTGGGTGGCTTTTCCCAAGTCACCAAGCTAGGAAGCAGCAGATTTATGACTCCTGTTTACACCCTTTGACTCTGAAGCTTGCAGTTTTAGCCACAACATAATTCCTTACAGAACGCGGAGAGCTCTTTACAATCGGTACAGAGGGCAAATCTTAAAGGAACTGTATTTTAGATGACTTTGAAGAAGAGTTTTTAGTAATTCAAGCCCTTTACCACCACCCCACTCTGTGAAGTACTCTGGGCCTCTCATTAGCAGCTCACGAGACAAGGACTAGTGCTGACTGAGCAGAAACACGGTAAAAGGCGTTTAGAATAAGTGGAACTCACAAGTAGCACTCTTTCCAATTCAAGATTCTTCTGGGCCTTTCCAATTCAAGATTCTTCTGAACGTAATTTCCTCTCTTGAGGACATTTTTTGCCAATTTACTCCCATGAGTAAATTTTGACTACTTTCAAAATTTTCCCATGTAATTCATAAAGACTATTTTGTCGCAGGTAAAACCAAAATGCAATTTATTCATTATTCCAATTGGCATAAGCAAAGCATACTCTACCTGTGGGTGAGCCTGTATAGGAATCCACCGCATGTTTCACAGAGGAATAAAAAATTGCCTGGATCATGGAACCTCAAAAATGATTTTTAAAAGTATTTTAAGCATTTGGCAGACTCTAATGTTGTTAGATATTAATGATCAGAGAAACCCAGGAGAGGAAGAATAGAATATTATTAGATTTAAAGTTAATAATGATCCCTTAAATAATTGAGTATGCTATTATCATTTTAATATAATCCTTAGAGTTATATTGTATCCTTTAATTATTTCTGATATACTTCACATGTGCCAGGTGAGAAGTAGCATTTTTAAAAATCCTCATCTGAGGATAGGTTTTTATTGATGAGAGAGATGGAGATAGAGACAGAGATAGAATCATTGATAGGTTGCCTCCCATACTCACCCTGATAAGAGATTGAACCCAAAACCTAGGTATCTGAGAATCAAACCTGCATGGGCCGATGCTCCAAGCGAGCTACACAGCAAGGGCATGAGAAGCATTTTTTTTTTTTACAAGTGCGTTTTTTCTTTGTGTGTGTTTTAAAAATATATTTTTTATTTATTTCAGAAAGGAAGGAAGAGGGAGAGAGAGGTAGAAACACCAATGATGATACATGGGTTGGCAGCCTCCTGCACTCCCCAACCTGGGACTTGAGCCTGCAACCTGGACGTATGCCCTGGCTGGGAATCAAATCATGTCCTCCTGGTTCATAGGTTGATGCTCAACCACTGAGCTATACTGGCCAGGCATGTTTCTGTGTTTTGAAGGAAAATGCACTGGATATCCTGAAGTCCAAGTTTTGATATTTACATTTTCAAAAAGTGTGCTGAGTTTCAATATATATATCTTCTTTTTAACATTTATCTGCCCATCCTTTATTCCTCAACTACTCCTGATTGGGGCATTCCTCCTGCTCCCAACTCACAAAGTGGATGTGCAAGAGGTTGGAAGAGAATGCACACATAATTTAAGGAGCCTAACATCGACAGATGCTTCCATGGAGATAGTTGTAAATTATGATTTTAGAGAAGTTTGTATTCTTGAAATAATTAGCACCCACGATAGGCTTTAGAGAAAAAATACTATGCAAAGGAATGATGTGGCATATAGGAAGTCAAAACTGGGCTAAAGAGAACTGAAAGGAGTTGGTGATAGGAGCAGGTGGAATCTGTATTTAAGAGAACTGGATGGGGTAGATTCAGGAACTGAAACACGCGGGGGTGTCTAGCCTGGGGATCAGGAAGGAAGGTTCCACTGGGAGTATGGGTCTTGAAGAATTCTAGGCAAGCAAAGAATAAGCAGGAAATGGTGCTTGGGGAATGCTGACCAGTCTGGTTCACAGTGCAGTTCAAGAAGAGTGAAAGCAAAGTTACAAATAAAGATAAGTCTGGGGATCTATTGTGAAGACTTAGATATCTGAGTGAACCGTCTGTAACCAGCTTGCGTGGGGATGAGATTCTACTTCCTGTTCTCCCAGGAGGTTAGTATTTTTCATGAACTATTCCACGTATTTATGTCCTGTCTCTCCCCTACAGGGTAAGATCCTTGGTCATATTTATTTTGATTTATAGCACTAATGCTAAACAGATTCTAGGTTTATTAAATATGTTGATTATTGACTGTATATGGCATGATATCTATTTATGGCACTAATATTATGTAATAAATATTAGGAAGGTTTGCTTCTTGCATCATATATGATGTTAGTGTTGTACATGATTTCTGTGAGTTGCTTTAAGAGTACATTTGCTTAAAGCAGATTTTTAAAATGTCTCTTTTCTAGATCATTTCAATTTGAGCAGATAATTAATATGTGGTCCAATCAGGACCCCCATTGCAAGTATTGAGCCAGCCATAGGACCTTCCTTGAAGCTGCATAGCCCTCAGCAATCATTTCCCCTTCTTCCTTCCCCTTCATTATACAGATGAAGAAACCAGGCTCAGGGCAGAGTCACACACAACCAATTAATGGTAATGCCAGGGTTAACCTCAGGTCTCTGCTATCTTTCTACCACACAACCATTCTTATCTGAAATAAGTGACCAATAAATGCAAAACATTTGAAGTATCATACACATTTACAATTTAAATATTCATAGGACACATCAATGTGGATCAGACTGTTCTATAATTCAGATTAACAGTAGTCATACTTTTAGTTGTTATGATAACACACGTGCAAAGTTTCTGATAAATCAGTTAACTTATTACAAGTGATCCTCCCTAATTTTTTCTTATAAGACCTATGGCGGTAATGGGAATAACACAAGGACACTTCACTATGAGAAAATTGCTTCTCCAGCATATAGCTTTTTTTTCTTTCTTGGTTTGTAATCCAATCCTATCTACTAAAAGAGTAATATGCAAATTGAGCATCACTCCAACACACAAGATGGCTATCCCATGTGGTCAAAGATGGCCACCCGCATGTGAACACAAGATGGCTGCCTCCAAAATGGCCACCGCAAGATGACCAGTAGGGGAGGGCAGTTTGGGGGACCTAGACCTACAGGGGAGGGCAGTTGGGGGGGGACCAGGCTTGCAGGGGAGGGCAACTGGGGTGGTGACCAGGACTGGAGGGCAGTCAGGGGTGACCAGGCCTGCAGGACAGAGCAGTTGGAGGCTCCCAGGCTGCAGGGGAAGGCAGTTGGGGGTGATCAGGCTGGCAAGGGAGGGCAGATAGGTGTAACCAGGCCAGCAGGAGAGGGCAGTTGGGGATGACCATTTCTGCAGGGGAAGATAGATAGGGGTGACCAAGATGGCAGGGGAGGACAGTTAGGAGTGACCAGGTGGGAGGGGAGGGTAGTTAGATGCAATTGGCCTGGCAGGGGAGCAGTTAGGCGTCGATTAGGCTGGCAGGGAGTGGTTAGTAGGTGATCAGGCTGGCAGACAGATGCTGTTAGGGGCAATCAGGAAGGCAGGCAGGTGAGCAGATGGGAGCAAGAAGTCCTGGATTGTGAGAGAAATACCAGATTAGAGAGGGTACAGGTTGGGCTAAGGGACACACACATCCCATTCCCCACCCCCCTCCATACAAAATTCGTGCATCAGGCCTCTAGTTTATAATAATTTGGTCACTGGACCATCCTGGAGAAGAAAGGCCCTCGCATTTGGAGGTCCATAAACAGTCCTATATTGCATTGACAGCATATCCTATGGAGGGGTAGTTTCCAAGCTAAAATGTAAGTAGTGCCACTAACAGTGATAGCAGGTACCAGGACTCTGTTGCACAGGTGCTATTTCCATACTTGTAACTCTGGGACCTTCTCTGGGGAAGAGGCTGGTCAGACCTATCGCCATAACCCAAGCACGGGCTATGTGCTCAAGGCTGATGGAAAGTGGTTGGAACAATTCAGGCGTTGGAGGGACTTCCAGAAAAGCCGCATGCCTGAAAAGTGAGTTTTCTGGCTTCCAATTATTTTGAGGCAAAAGGCAAATTTTGCCCATCCACTGAGCTCCACATTTCTTCCCTCCCAAGGCCCTTCTTGAACACACCTTAGAAGGTGACAAATCGTACATGAGGCCACAGAGTGGCTGCTATTCACTTTGTCCCACTGTGGACCCCTGTCAGTCCCAGGTCCCAGCTGCCCGGTGAAGCCCTGAGCATGAGCTGCAGGAAGGGGCGGAACCGAAAAGCCGCGGAACCCGAGGCCAGGGCGCGGCGCCGGCGGAGGGAGAAGTTAGGGGACCGGAAGGCCTACTTCCCAGGAGGCGGCGGCGGCGGTGGTGGTGGCCGCGGTGGCGGCGGCGCGGGAATGGAACCCCTGCGGGTGCTGGAACTGTACAGCGGCGTGGGTGGCATGCACCAGGCGCTGAGAGGTGAGAGCGCACAGGGTGCCTCCATTTCCTCTGGGGGCTGCTCGGAGCTCTGGCTCCGGCGAGGGGCGGAGCGGCGAGGCGCCGGGGGCGGAGACGCGGGGCCTCGGTTGTCCTGGAAACAGCGCCTGCGGGCCGCCCCTCCAGCTCTCTGCGGAGACTCTTCTTCCTGTCCTGGGCTTCAGAGAGCTCAGTTCCTGGTCCCGATCCTCCAGGCCAGGCCCTGATCATACTGCAGGACACCCCCACGGCGGGAGGGGCGCGCCCCGGCCAGTGCCGTGCCCAGGCTACAGGTGGCCGTGCCGCGCCGCGTGGGAAGAGGGTCCCGCCCCAGGAAGTCCCGGGGGGCGAAGGGGGAAGGTCGCTGGTCTGGTGGGGTCTCCCTGGTGACCCCGGGCTCCAAGGGGTCCCTGCCATCCATGGTCCAAACAGTGACCCCCGAGAGCTGGTCCCTGTACATCAGGCATCCTCAAACTTTTTAAAGTGGGGGCCAGATCACGGTCCCTCAGAGAGCTGGAGGGCCGGACTATATGAACTACTAATTCCTACTGTAACACCTCGGCTGCGCTCAGCCGGATCAGACTCCTCTGCGGGCCGCATGTGGCCCGCGGGCCGTAGTTTGAAGACGCCTGCGTGTACATCACCGAGAAGAAGTCCCCTTCGCGGTGCATCAGGTCCAGGTGCACTTCGGCGCGGGAGGGGCTGAGTTCAAACTCCATTGCTGTGTGACTCTGGGCTAGTTCTTTATTTTAAACTTTTTTAAAAATTGTTTGAAACATTACAAATAGTACATATGTCGCCTTTCCCCCTTGACCTCCCCTCAGCCTACCTTCCTCCCCCCCTCCCCTCATGTGCCTTCACCTGTGGCCCCTGCCCCCCATGTCTTATATCCATTGATTATGTTTATATGCATGTATACAAGTCCTTCGGTTGATCTCTTACAGACCATTTTTGAACCTGTTTTCTGGCTTTAAAATGTGAAAAGCAATTCTTTCAGAGAGGGATTAATGTGAGGCGTGGAGACCGGAAGCATGCGGTTTAATAATGCCCGGTAGATTGTAGCCACTCAAAAATGGTATCAATCACTATCAGCACTATAGTTTTTATGCACCTCTTTCAGTTGGACGTTTTAAAAATTCTTCGGTGCTAAGTTGGAACTGAGTTTATTTTTGGTGATTTTCACCCAAAAAAGATGGATTGAGCAAGCCCCTGTTCTGTGCCAGGTACTGTGCGAGGCACTGGGGACAGAGTGACAGACAGACTTTGTGCATGTTTATACTGAGGTTACTAAGACAACCACAAAACTGAAACTCCCCTGCTTCCTTTTTTAGTACCAAGGGTAACAAGAGACTGAATAGCGTAAGATACAAACAATGTGGAATGAGTTGAGCATGTAAGTTTTCTGAAAATATGTATTGAGTTTTGGTTTTGGCCTAGGTTTTTGTTAAATTTTTATTACCAGTTATTTGTTAGCTGTCCCCTGTGCAGTTGTCATATCAAAACTTACCAGAATGGGGGACCCTGTCCCCCTCCCTGAGTGGGAGTCCGTTCTGTGGGACTCTCTCCCTCTCCCCATGTGGGAGTCTGTACTTGTTCTTCAATAAATCTCCACCTTTGCTATTGAAAACAAACCACAAACAAACAAAACAACTTACCGGCATGAAAACAAAACTCCAGTTAATTTTCCCTTAGATCTTGAAACGTGATTTTAAATGTTGCTTATCACTTTACCATACGCTATGGTTCGGCCACTCCTTAAGTGTTGGATATTGCAAGTGTAAATGTGCTAGTTGTATCCTGGAGCATAAATCCTGATTTTTCTCTTAAAGCATGTTTTCTAAAAGTTGAATTAATTCATTCAACAATAAAATATTGATTTTGTGTCAGTTACTAGGTCAAAAATTATGAGATTATTTTTAATGCTTTTGATAATAATACCTAATTGCTTTTCAGAAGTTTATAAAGTATATAGTCTTAACTATGTAGTCTTCAGGACTTGTATTATCCAGTTTTAACTTTTGCTAATTTGATAGGGGCAATAGCATGATTTTAATTTTTTTGTTAATGAAACAATTACATATTTTCTCTCCTGTTAGCCAATGTAACCTGAATTTGTACACATATTTATTCCTATTATCACTGCCACCGCTGTGAATCTAAGCTATACTTTCTCTTAATTAAAATATTAAAGTAATTTCCTAACTGCCCCCCTGCTTCCACTCTGCTTTCTCACTCCATCCTTTCTCCACATAGTAGCAGAATGGTCTTTTTGTACAGTAAACTGGATCATGTCACTTCCTTTCTTGACTGGTTTTCATTTGAGGTTAGAATCACAGTCCCATATTCTTACTAGGCCTGTGATATCTGGCTTCTCTCTGCCTCTGGTTCTCTTTTTCAGGCACACTATTCTTTTTGTCTGTATTCCTCCAACCCTCCCGTTCCTGCTACATTCTGGCCTTTGCTATAGTCTCTATCACAGTGCTTTAACCCCAGATTTCCAAAGCAGATGCATTTCATTTTTCATGTCTTGGTTCATATGTGGCCTCTTCAGAGTAGCTTTCCTTGGTTGACACTGTTCTAGAGCCTTCCTACTGCCTCTGAGCTGAATTAATGTTTTATAACATGAGGCTACTTGACTATTTCAGCTATATTCTTCCATCATTTATAATGAAAATGTTCATAAATCTAATTGGATCTTCTCAAAGGGAAAATGACTGGGGGTTGACTTTTATTCTAGTTGTTTTATATTTGGATACATACATACAGTGTGTGTGTGTGTGTGTGTGTGTGTGTGTGTGAATGTGTGTGTGTGTGTGGTGTGAGTAAGAAAAATATTGGGAAGGTGCACATTATCCTCTTACCAATATTAACTCCTTGAGAGTAGATGAGGGATGATGGTCTCATTACCAGTAAACAAGTAAACACACCAAGAACATCTGAGCCTCAGGGCCATTGTACTTGCTGTTCACCCTATCTGGAATGCCTTCCCTAGATAGTCACATGACTAATCCCTTGTCTTTATTTTTTTACTTTATTTTTATTGTTGATATTATTACAGATGTCCCCATTTCCCTCCCCCTCCTTTACCCACCTCTACCTAGATCCTGCCTCCCTTCCCTCTGTCCATCATGACATTGTTGTCTGTGTCCATGGGTCACACACATATGTTCTTTGGTAAATCCCTTCACCTTTTATTTAGTCCACCCTCCCTCTCCCCTCTGACAGCTCTCAGTCGTTCTATGTACTCATGCCTCTGTTTCTATTTAGTACATCTGTTTATTTTGTTCATTAGATCCCACATATAAGTCTTTCTCTGACTGGCTTATTTCACTTAGCATAATTATCTCCATGTCCATCCATGCTGTCACAAAAGGTAAGCTTTTCTTCTTTTTTATGGCCATGGAGTTTTCCATTGTTGTCTTCAGGATCATCTTCTCCCATCACTATAGAAAACTGTGGTCTCTGCCCATTCTGCCTATCCCCCTTTCTCTTTTATTTTCCTCTTAGCACGTATTGCTGCCTATTACACTATGTATTTTACTTGTTTATGATTTTATTCAACTGCCTCCCCTTCTAAAATGTAAGCTCCTTGAAGGTGGAGATATTTTTGTTTGTTTTGGGTGGGATTTGTTTATTTCCCATGTTGTTCACTGCTACATTCTTAGCACCTAGAATAGTGATTGTTGCATAGTGAGTGCTCAATAAATATTTGTTGAATGAATACATTAGTTATAGAGCAGGGACATTTTAAAAGTTGATAATATTGTCAACTTATATTTTAAAGGGGTTTATCCAATAAACTGTGTTGCCATAAGTATGCTAATATAACATTTAAACTGAAATAATTTATTAGGTAAAATTATTTAAACTTTTTGATTACTAGTGAAGTTGAATATTTAAAAATGCCATTTTACATTTATATTCTTTTTGTCTTATATGACACATTTAGAAAGGGAACCTTGGTACACAGCTGGTGGGAAATGCAGACTGGTACAGCCACTGTGGAAAACAGTATGGAGTTTCCTCAAAAAATTAAAAATTGAACTCCCATTTGACCCAATGATCTCATTTCTAGAAATGTATCTTAAGAAACCTGAAACATCAATCAGAAAGAATGTATGCACCTCTTTGTTCATAACATATATTTGCAATTGCTAAGATCTGAAACAGCCCAAATACCCATGGGTTAGTTGGATAAAAAAAGCTGTGGTACATTTACACAATAGAATCCTATACAGCATTAAAAATAAGGAGTTCTGCCGAAACCGGTTTGGCTCAGTAGATAGAGCATCAGCCTGCAGACTGAAGGGTCTCAGGTTCGATTCTGGTCAAGGGCATGTACCTTGGTTGCAGGCACATCCCCAGTAGGGTGCATGCAAGAGGCAGCTGATCGATGAATTTCTCTCATCGATGTTTCTAACTCTCTCTCTCTCTCTCCCTTCCTCTGTAAAAAATCAATAAAAAAAATATATTTTAAAAATAAGGAGTTCTTACCATTTGCAACAGAATGGATGGACCTGGAAAGTATTATGCTAAGTGAAATAAGCCAGTCAGAGAAAGACATGTATCACATGATCTCACTCATATGTGGAATCTAATGAACAAAATAGATCTAGAGACATAGAAGCATGAAACAGACTGACGAATTTCAGAGGGAAGGCAGGATCAGGCGTGGAGTGGGGAGACTTATGTGCATAGCCCATGGACACAGATGATAGTGTGGTGAAGGCCTGGAAGGGACAGGTGTGGGGTGGAGGGAGTCAATGGGAAAACAAACAAACAAACAAACGAGACATCTGTAATACTTTCAGCAATAAAGATAAATTAGAAAACAATAAATTGGGAAATATTGAAAACATACATTTATTCATCCAGCATGTTATTATTGAGTGGTTTCTTTGTCAGTTACTGTGCTGGGGATGCAGCAATAACAGGACAATTATGTTCTTTTCATCTAGAGATTACGGTTTACTGGGAAATACTGATGCTATACAGGTAAAAAA